GGAATTTTTCAATTTTTTGGTTCTTCAATTTTACAATTTTTAAAAATTTCGATTTTTTTGTTTCTCAATTAATCAATTTTTCGATTTTTCGACACTTTTCAGCTTTTTGTTTTCCGCGTTTTTCGATTTCGATTATGATTTCTTCTTTTCGATTTTTCAGGTTTTTGATTTTTAAATTTTTCAAATTCTCGAGTTTCAATTTTTCGATTACTCCATTGTTCGACATTTCAGTTTTGGGATTTTTCAATTTTTCGACTTTTGAACTTTTAAATTTTTCGATTTTGCAATTTGTAGATATTTAAATTTTCATTCATTCCAATTAATCGAGATTTCAACTTTTAACTTAATTTTAGCTTTTAAATTTTTCAACTTTCAATTTTTTGATGCTTTATTTTTCCAGATTCTAACTTTTAATTTAAATAATTCAAAAAGAACAAATTTATTAAAAGTGAAATTTTCACGATTTTACAGTTTTTGGATTTTACAATTTTTCGTTTTCAAGTTTTCTCGTTGCAAACTTTGGTTCGTTCAGTTTTTCGATTGGAATTTTTCGTTTCTTGGATGTTTCGATTTTTTAAGTTTCCGGTTTTTCCGATTTGCAATTTTTCGAATTTGTGGTATGTTTTTCAAAGTTTCTATTTATCAACTTTTGAAATTTTCAATTTTTCGATTTTAGCGTTGCTTAGATTTTTCCGCTGCCATCAGACCGACATCTAAACTGAACACAAGGGACCGAAAAATGTGACCTTTGCTCAGGTGGCTCACGTGACAGTGACATCATCGTACGTCTCGATGAAATTGCAAACATTATTTTTCATATTTTGGCCGGGAAATTACACAATTTCGGGTTACTTTAATAATATTTAAACAAATTGCTTTGTTTGTAGTAACTTTGTGTTTTTAAGAAAATGTGTTGAATTTAATTATCATATACGTATCGTATTTAAACATTATAAATAATATTAATTATGTTTAAATATTATTTAATTATATCGTGAAAATTCGACCAACTTCTACCGTTTCGGAAATTTCCTCAAAATTTAAACATTATCGAGTAAACGAATCACGGAACCCGATAAATTAAAACTGAACATTTTCTTTCGTGTTCACAGCAATTACACAACACATTTTCCCTAATATTTATTAATAACAAATTAGAAATTCGCGAAAATGCTCTACTTTTACGCCAAAAGGACGCGACGATATTGTCGCCATCAAGTAGAAATTAAAACTGAACACTAAGGACCGAATAATGTAACCTTTGGACAGGTAGCTCACGTGACAGTGATGTCATCGCACGTCAAGATGAGATTGCAAAAATTATTTTTCATATTTTGGCCAGGAAATTAGACATTTTTAATACCATCGTGTTTTTAGTAAAACGGTTTTCGGTTCGATTATCACATATTCATACTTATCGTATTTAAACATTGTAAATAATATTAATTATGTTTAGAAATTGTTTAATTATATCGTGAAAATTTCTAGCTTTGATCGACCAACTTCAATCGTTTCGAAAATTTCCCCAAAATGTAAACATTATCGAGTAAACGAATCACGGAACGCGATAAATTAAAACTGAAGTCGTACTTACCCCGTTTTCGGTTCTTTTGGGAAAAATATCCATTTTCTTTCGTGTTCGCAGCAATAACACAACACATTTTCCCTAATATTTGTTAATAATAAATTAGAAATTCGCGAAAGGAGCCCTACTTTTAAGCCAAACCGGAGCTCCGATGTCGCTGCTATCAAACCGAAATCTAAACTGGACTCAATTTTTCGACATTTCAGGTTTGGAATTTTTCAATTTTTTGGTTCTTCAATTTCACAATTTTTAAAAATTTCGATTTTTTTGCTTCTCAATTAATCAATTTTTGGATTTTTCGATTTTTCGACACTTTTCACCTTTTTGTTTTCCGCGTTTTTCGATATCGATTTTGATTTCTTCTTTTCGATTTTTCAGGTTTTTGATTTTTAAATTTTTCAAATTCTCGAGTTTCAGTTTTTCGATTACTCCATTTTTCGACATTTCAGTTTTGGGATTTTTCAATTTTTAGATTCTTTAATTTCCGGATTTTTCAAATTATTGATTTCTGGATTTTGTTATTTTTGGATTTTTCAATTTTTCGACTTTTGAACTTTTATATTTTTCAATTGTGCAATTTGTAGATATTTAAATTTTTCCTCGTTCCAATTAATCGAGATTTCAACTTTTAAAAGTTTCCGGTTTTTCCGATTTGCAATTTTTCGAATTTGTGGTATGTTTTTCAAAGTTTCTATTTATCAACTTTCGAATTTTTCAATTTTTCGATTTTAGTGTTGCTTAGATTTTTCCGCTACCATCAGACCGAAATCTAAACTGAACACAAGGGGCCGAAAAATGTGACCTTTGCTCAGGTGGCTCACGTGACAGTGACATCATCGTACGTCACGATGAGATTGCAAAAATTATTTTTCATATTTTGGCCGGGAAATTGCACATTTTCGGGGTTAATTTAATTATATTTAAACAAACTGCTTTGTTTGTAGTAACTTTGTGTTTTTAAGAAAATGTGTTCGATTTAATTATCATATATTTATACGTATCGTATTTGAACATTATAAATAATATTAACTAATGTTTAAAAATTGTTTAATTATATCGTGAAAATTTACAGCTTTGATCGACCAACTTCAATCCTTTCGAAAATTTCCCCAAAATGTAAACATTATCGAGTAAACGAATTACGGACCCCGATAAATTAAAATTGAAGTCGAACTTACCCCGTTTTCAGTCATTTTCGGAAAAATATCCATTTTCTTTCGTGTTCACAGCACCAACACAACACATTTTCACTAATATTTATTAATAAAAAATTAGAAATTCGCGAAAAGAGCCCTACTTTTAAGCCAAACCGGACTCCGATGCTGCTGCCATCAAACCGAAATCTAAACTGAACCCAAGGGACCGATAAATGCGACCTTTGGACAGGTAGCTCACGTTATTTAAACAAATTGTTTGTTTGTTATAACTTTGTGTTTTTAAGAAAATGTGTTCGATTTAATTATCATATATTAAAACGTATCGTATTTAAACATTATAAATAAAATTAATTATGTTTAAATATTATTTAATTATATCGTGAAAATTTATAGCTTGATCGATCAACTTCAACCGTTTCGAAAATTTCCCCAAAATTTAAACATTATCGAGTAAACGAATCACGGAACTCGATTAATTAAAACTGAAGTCGTACTTACCCCGTTTTCGGTCCTTTTCGGAAAAATAGCCATTTTCTTTAGTGTTCACAGCAATAACACAACACATTTTCTGTAATATATATTTATTAATAATAAATTAAAAATTCGCGAAAATGCTCCACTTTTACGCCAAAAGGACGCGACGATCTTGTCGCCATCAAACCGAAATCTAAACTGAACACAAGGGACCGATAAATGCGATCTTTGGACAGGTAGCTCACGTTATTTAAACAAATTGTTTGTTTGTTATAACTTTGTGTTTTTAAGAAAATGTGTTAGATTTAATTATCATATATTAATACGTATCGTATTTAAACATTATAAATAATGTTAATTATGTTTAAATATTATCTAATTATATTGTGAAAATTTATAGCTTTAATCGATCAACTTCAACCGTTTCGAAAATTTCCCCAAAATTTAAACATTATCGAGTAAATTACTCGGTTTTCGATCCTTTTCGGAAAAATAACCGCTTTCGTTCGTGTTCACAGTACTAACACAACACATTTTTACTAATATTTATTAATAATAAATCGGAAATTCGCGAAAAGAGCCTTACTGTTACGCCAAACTTGAGCTCCGATGTTGCTGCCATCAGACCGAAATCTAAATTGAACACAAGGGGCCGAAAAATGTGACCTTTGCTCAGGTATCTCACGTGACAGTGACGTCATCGTACGTCACGATGAGATTGCAAACATTATTTTTCATATTTTGGCCGGGAAATTGCACATTTTCGAGGTTAATTTAATAATATTTAAACAAATTGCTTTGTTTGTCGTAATTTTGTGTTTTTAAGAAAATGTGTTCAATTTAATTATCATATATTAATACGTATAGTATTTAAACATTACAAATAATATTAATTATGTTTAAATATTATTTAATTATATCGTGAAAATTTATAGCTTTAATCGACCAACTTCAATCGTTTCGAAAATTTCGCCAAAATTTAAACTTTGTAGAGTAAACGAATCACGGAACCTGATAAATTAAAACTGAAGTCGTACTTACCCTGTTTTCGGTTCTTTTCGGAAAAATATCCATTTTCTTTCGTGTTCACAGGAATAACACAACACATTTTCCGTAATATTTATTAATAATAGATTAGAAATTCGCGAAATTGCTTGATCAAATCAAAATTCAATCTTTATCTGATCAAAAAACCAATGAATTTCAAGAGTAAAGGTGGGTGGGGTTAGTTTTTCCTTTTTATCTACATTCCACTGTGTATCAATGTAAATGCCACTTTTTGACCAATAAAATGGGTAATCAGAAAGAAAACCGGGTGGGTGGGCGGGGCCACTCTGAAATTTTTTTAGACGTAGATTGGCCAATTTGACGAACCAAAATAAAATTTTTATCTCAGAGGAAATAAAATAAGCCAATGGAATTCAAAAACGGAGCTGGGTGGGGTTAGTTTTACTTTTTTGTCTCTAGATTCAACTAGTTATCAATAGAAAATATACTTCTTGTGCAATGAAATGAATAAGAAAATTATTCATTTCACTGGATTTTATTATCAGAAAGAAAACACGGTGGGTGGGTGGGGTCACTCAATTTTTATCTCCACTTTACAGATGAAAATTGAATTATATGGCAAGTGGTCGAATCTAATTAAAAAACTTCAAAGTGGCTCCACTCACCCACCCGGTTTTCGTGCTAATCACTCATTTTATTGTACCCAAGAGTCTACCGAATTAAAAAAACACTGCGGCACTGAATACTTTTTCAAATTCGTAAAAAATAAGACACTAGAAGCTCAAAAGATTTTTTCAAGTTCATCCAGCAACAAAATATCAGAGAATTTTTAGAATCATGTCATAGTTGCCCTCCGCTTCCAGTTTTACCCAAAACCACCCTATTATAGGTCACATTCATCTGCTCCAAGAAGACAAAAGTGAGCACCGTATGGGGCCCCACCCTGAAATAGTACGGCGTGAAACCCTTCCACAACGCAAACAGCCCCTCATTCTTAACAATTTTGGCCAAAACATCAACCGCCCCCGAATACTCCGGTTTCCCTTGAACCGTCTTCATATTCTGGATCCTCGTTTTCGCAATATCCACAGGCATCGAACTCACAGTGGTCACCAACCCAGAAATCATAGACGAAAGAAAATGCAAAAAAATCCCATCACCAAAAACCCCAGTGTTCATCAACATTTGCTTGGCTTGCGAATACGTGGCTAGTTGGGCCGCATTGACCACAACCGCGCGACCCATGGTGGGTATGGCACCTCTCCATAGCGTCAGAACCCCTTCTTCCTTCGTCATCCGGATGATGGCGTCGAAGACGTTCTTGTAGTTGCGACGTTCTTGGGGTGGCAGCCGTCCGTCGGCGGTCATTCGAATCAAAGATACTTCAGCGGGAGTACCGACGAAAGCTCCGCACACTCCTGCGGCCATTCCCATTGCTGCTTTTGCGAAAAAGCCTGGTTTTATGTCGCCTTGGGAGAAGGTTTCGAAGAGCCAGGAGTAGACTCCTAGGCGGGTTGTGGTGTAGGTGGCTTGTCGGAGCAGACCTGCTGATAAACCGTTGTACAAGCCGGTGATGCCTTCAGTGGCTATGATTTTCTTGGCGACTTGGAAGGAAGTGGCTCTTTCTTTTTGGGTGGCTGCTAGCTGCATTCGGTTTTTGAGGAGATCGAGGGGTTGGACGAAGCACGTGGCGGCCATTCCGGCTGACCCTCCGAAGAGGAATTTCACGTATTTTGGCATGGTTTTTTCGCCCATTTTGATTTTGGAAGTCACGTCATGAAGGTTTAAATTTTTGATTTTGGGCCACAATTTTGTGTTTTATTTAAGGCTAGCTATGTATTCGGGTATGTGGACCAATATTTCCATTTCTATTAGCTCCTTTTAAACAGAAATCGTAATTAATTTTGCTGGTTACATAGATGCTGCTGAGAGGTAATACTTTTAAATTAGAGAGGGCGTCCAGAATTAATATACACAAATAATTTATACAACACAAATATTCTGGCATTGTTTGACAGACGTTTGTGATCCAAGCCGTCTAAATTGTCAGTCAGTCAGTGTCATAGGAAGTCAGTGGCTCCAAAATCAAAATAGTTGATCGAAATTTGCGCCTTTGAAAATGGATGAAACTGAAAATTTTATTTATTTTATTATAACTCCTATAAGCTAAAAAATATAGATTACCAGCCACAGTGTAAGAAAAATTGGTTGAAAGTTATTTTGACAGAACTTCCCTAACCCGTGAAATATAGTCCTCGTTTACAAAAGTTATAAAATTTTATTTTGCGATTTTCGTTTTTTGATAACCTCTATAAAGTAAAACCAGTGGCGTAAGTAACACCCGCACAAGTGTGGTCAATTTGATATATATTATAAGCAAATAATCAACCGGAAAAATGTAGATATTCTCAAATTCTCAGTACTTGTTTAACTTCGACTGTTTATGTTTATACTTCGAACTACAAACATCAGCGGTTTGAAGAAAATTAAATTTGATAAATTTGGTCTCCTCGCGGTAGGGGAAAGGAATGATTAATTCACACTTCATTTTTTTCGTAACAGAAAACTCATAAATTTGAAGAACAAAATTCGGCAAAATTGCAAGATGAAGAACAAATTTTGATTTTCCATGCTTCCAACAACCTTAAAATATTTGTAAGGTTTCACAGCTTTCGGGTTTTACAAATTCAAAGTTAAATTGTAAAAAATACAATTTTGAATTTTTTCCCAAAAATCCGGATATCTAGGGTAAAACATACATGTGGAAGAGTATGTAATTCTGTTAAATTTAAAATGACGTTATCACTCTTTGGGGGGCATCAACGAACAAATTTTGATTAACGATTTCAAGATTTCATAGCATTCGGTTTTGCAGTTTTTGAATTTTTGTCCAGAAATCTGGATGTCTAGGGTAAAAACTCAACACGGATTCATAAACTACATGTGTAGGAGTATCTTATTTTATGAAGTTTAATAACATTTACTAATGTAAATTTTGCACATGACGTCATTTTATTGTTGGCGGGGATGATTAGCCAAATTTTGGTTAGAATGTTACCATCTATTAGTAGTTTCGGAGATTCCAAACGGGAGACCAATTTTTTCCCACTCTAGGGGCCATAAATCGTCGAGAAAACATGAAAGTGGTCATTAGATTGCAGTTTTACATTTTATTGATGTTGTAAATTTTTGTATATTTATTTTGATTTACTTTAAATATCACTTATGTTTTAAGTTTTATCTCAAACATCTTCATGTTTTCGATCAAAATTTTTGTATAATGTTTTTAAATTATAAAAATGAGTATATTTAGGTTAAAAAAATATTTCACATGAGCTTAACACCAAGAAAAGAAAACTTTTCGACAGAAATGCTATCGAATCATATACCGGGTGTGTCACTAAGTGCGCGCGCGCGAGAGAGAGAGTTTTGAATTTTTACTTCCCCAGCGTAAGCGAAGGTCTGTCCGTCTGTCTCTCTGTCCATCTGTCTATCTGTCTGTCTGTCCGTCTGTCTGCCGTCCCCATTTTTATTAGACCGATAATCACCGAAAGTTGGGATTTATCATTTCATTCATCTTGTTGTAATTGCTTATACAGAGTGACTCAAAAAAATTAATGAATGCGTGAATTTATTTTATTGATTTAATGATGAACTACAAAACCGAATACTTTGAAATTTTGGAGATGAGTTTTTTCTTAACAACAGAATAGTTAAACATGTTTTCAGTTTCTTGTTGGTAAAAGAAAATTTTGTATATTAAGAAAAAAAATGGACAAAATGTAAGCCCCGCCCACCCACCCGGTCTCATTTGTGATGAATTTTTTATTCATCATGAGCTGAAGGGCGGAGCTTAATTGCAAAATCCTCATTTCTATGAAATATGTTTTTAAAAGGGTAGCATTTTCGGAAGAAATATTGATGTTATCATTAAACTCCGCCCCTCGGTCTCATTACGAATGAAAACGCATCATAACAGATCGGCGCGGGTGGGTGGGGCGTAATCTTCTCTTTTTAGTAAATAAAGTTTCCTTCAATATGAGCCCCGCCCACCCACCCCTTCTGAATTTTGATGAATTTTTTATTTGTCGTGAATCGAGGCGCGGAGCCTAGTTGCAAAGTCTTCGTTTCTCTACAAGAAATTACCATGTGAAATAATTATGTTTTTAAAAGAGTAAAATTTTGTACAGAAATATAGATTTTGCAATTAAACTCCGCCCCTCGATCTAATTACGAATGAAAAACTCATCACAATTGAGACAGGGGTGGGTGGGTGGGGCTTAATCTTTGTTTTTTTTTTTTTGTATACAATTATACATAGTTTTCTTTCAACAATTTTTTGGCACAAAGAGCAAGACATATTATAATAAAAAACATAAAGGCCTATTCTAAGCCACGTAGAATAACTTGTGCTTTCTCGTTTTCTCGAAAAACTGAAGAAATGAAAAATTGGAAAATCTAAAAATTGAAAATTCGCAACATTTCAACTCAAAAAACTCCAAAATTTAAAAATTGGAACGTCCAAAAGTTGCAGTTTTCCGATTTTGCAACTTTTGGTCGTTTTTTTTTTAATATATAGATTTTTTTTTCAACAACAGGATCGTTAAACATGTTTTCAGTTTCTTGTTGGTAAAAGAAAATTTTGTACTTATATTAAGAAAAAAATGGACAAAATATAAGCCCCGCCCACCCACCCGGTCTCACTTGTGATGAATTTTGTATTCATCGTGAGCTGAAGGGCGGAGCTTAGTTGCAAAATCCTCATTTCTCTACAAGAAATTACCACATGAACTATGTTTTCAAAAGGGTAGCATTTTCTGGAGAAATATTGATGTTATCATTAAACTCCGCCCCTCGGTCTGATTACGAATGAAAACGGCGCGGGTGGGTGGGGCGTAATCTTCTTTTTTTAATAGATACCTAAAGTTTTCTTTCTGCGACAGGATAGATGAACATGTTTTTTGTTTCTTATTGGGAACAGAAGACTTTGTATATTAAGAGAAAACGGACAAAATATAAGCCCCACCCACCCACCCCTTCTCATTTTGATGAATTTTTTATTTGTCGTGAACCGAGGGGTGGAGCTTAGTTGCAAAATTGTCATTTCTCCACAAGAAATTGCCATGTGAAATATGTCTTTGAAAGAGTAAAATTTTGTACAGAAATAGAGATTTTGCAATTAAACTCCGCCCGTCGATCTGATTACGAATGAAAAACTCACCACAATTGAGACAGGGGCGGGTGGGTGGGGCTTAATTTTTTTTTCCTAATATACATAGTTTTCTTTCAACAATTTTTTGGCACAAAGAACAAGAAATATTATAATAAAAAACATAAAGGTCTAGTGTAAGTACTTTCTCGTTTTATCGAAAAACTGAAGAAATGAAAACTTGGAAAATCGGAAAACTGGAAATTTTGAAACTGAAAACTCGACGAGATATTGTCAAATTGAAGAAAAGCAAAAAAAATTAAAAAAGTGAATTGAAAAAACAAAAAAATTATAAAATCGGGACATTGAAAAATTGTAAAAATAAAGAAAATAAAAAACTGAAACGAAAATTGCAAATGGAAAAATTAAAAAATTAAAAATTGAAAACTCGAGAAACTCAAATTGAAAAATTCATCAGTTGCAAAAATTGAAAAACTGAAAAATTTAAACTTGAGGACTCGAAAAATTTCAAATCGAAAAAATGAAGAAACGAAAAAAATATGAAAAATTGAAGAATCGAAAAATTTAAGGTAAAAAAGCGGTGGGAGTGTTATTTACGCACTGGTTTTTACTTTGCAGAGGTTATCAGAAAACAAAAAATAAACACCATGATTTTTAAACAACAAAACTGATAAGATACACAGCATGTTTGTACTTTTATTGAACGGTAAAACTAAATTATTCATCTGGACATTAGAAAATAATAAAAAATTAACATCGTGAGGATGAATTTCCGTGCGCTGCTTACTAACCCAGGATAATGAAATACTAAAATTTTAGTATTGAGAGATAGAGTTTTCTTTCAGCGATATGATAGATGAACATGTTTTCAGTTTCTTGTTGGGAAAAGAAGACTTCGTATATTAAGATAAAACGGACAAAATATAAGCCCCGCCCACCCACCCCTCCTCAATTTTGATTAATTTTTTATTTGTCGTGAATCGAGGGCTTGGTTACAAAGTCGTCGTTTCTCTACAAGAAATTGCCATGTGAAATAATTATGTTTTCAAAAGAGTAAAATTTTGTACGGAAATATAGATTTTGCAATTCAACTCCCCCCCTCGATCTCATTACGAATGAAAAACTCATCAAAATCTTCTTTATATACATAGTTTTCTTTCAACAATTTTTTGTCACAAAGAACAAGAAATATTATAATAAAAAACAAAGTCAATGTACTATTCAATAATTTCAAATAAAAAAACTCCAAATTCTAAAAATTGGAACATCCAAAATTTGGAAAATCGGAAAACTGGAAAATTAGAAAATGAAAACTTGAGGAGATGTAAAAATAAAGAAATAAAAAACTGAAACGAAAAATTGCTAATCAAAAAATTGAAAACTGAAAAATTTAAACTTGAAAACTCGATATCAGAAAATTATAAAACATTAATATTGTGGGGATGAATTTCCATGCGCCGCTTACTGACCCGAACAGTGAAAAATACTAAAATTTTCCTTTGTTTAAGATACGCGCCACCTGTTCTTAAAGAGTGTGAAAGTTGCATAAATTTTACCGTCTAAATTTAATATGGTTTATGGCTCTACTGCAGTCATTGATGTAACAGTCCAAGAAAACTGACTAATAAAAGAAAGTTTAATTAGACACACGGTTTATAAGTACTAAATGAGACAAGTTGCAAATTATATCACCCTGTATATTAACGATATTTTTGACTAATGAAACTGAATATATGCTTTTCTTTTTTTTTTTTGTTGAGGGATATTTTTATTTAAAAAAAATCCAATATAGTGTGTAACTTATAAACAACCCTGTATATTGAGTATAAAAAGTAACGCTAAAAATTAGGAAACAGGAT